ATCTTCAAACATCCACGCACGTTTTCGTCCGACGAGATGCGGTTCAAAAGCCGTTACAGCAGCCGTATGACGGACCATTTAAAGTCATGAAACGGCGAGACAAGCATTTCCTCTTGAATTTAGGTGATCGAACAGACACCGTGTATGTTGACCGACTTAAACCGGCCCACTTGGCAACGGCCACCAACACTCGCTCATCTCGTCATATTTCTGCTAGCCAACCGTCTGCATTTCCTTTTTCCACAACTACACACAAGTTCCTCCGTCACCACGTCACGTGGGCTGCGCCTCTCTGCAGCCTGCTTTCCTAGGAGGGGGGCACCTGTAGTGAACTATAGTAGAAGACGACGACGAAACCAGGATGAGCAACAGAGAACGTGACGGACGAGAGCTCGTGTGGTCTTTTCCGTCGCAGATATTATTAGGAACCACTTCGTCATTTTAGCAGCATTGAACAAGTTATAATCGCATCCTTATTTTACAAAAATACGACCATCGTATATCGCTTTATGGGTGGTGTTTTGGAGTTTCTGGCGCCCATTGAACACTCCGGCTACCTTATTTTGTGAAATTCTAATTTCGGTTCAGCATCCCTTTAAGGGTAAAACGTTTCCCTCGCTACCTTGGTTTCATGTGATGCTGGATAGCTAAGGGTCGAATGGAGGATTTTTTCTTAGATACGTATTCTTTTTGTAGTGATACGAATGACAGAATACCGCAAAATTCATCATTTATCAGCGGTCGACGGACATAGCTTTCGTGTCTTCATGCGATGTGGAGGAAATAGGAAATGAGACGGTTGGATGTGTATATTCGTGATTTTTTTTTATTTTCAACTGTTGGAAATTACTGAAAAGTGACAGCAAGTCGCCTGAACAGCTAGCTGGACGATCCAGAACTCCGCCACTGTGTGTATGCAGCAAAGACATATACCCGAGACGCGCCTTCAAAATTTGTCCGAAGGTGCGTGGGTTCTTGATTGGCATCCAAGCGTGCAAAGGCACCAAGACAAAGTACTTTAGTATTCCGAGGCAGGGTTAGGCAGTATCGCGATACAAATGTATCGCGATAGTATTTCAGAAATGCATTTCGTATCTGTATTTCTGTATCGCGATACATTTTTTCACCAGTATCTGTATTCCTGTATCGAAATACATTTTGGACGTTTCTTTGTATCGCGATACAATCAGGATACAATGTATTTCGTTGCATTTCTTGGGGAATACCCCCCCCCCCCCAATACCCCCCGCATTTTAAGAACAAACAAAACAAGTCCGAATGATTTTTTTTAATTTTTTTACTTGTGAGGGCACCTGCTGGGTCAAGGAGATGCTGGAGCATTGTTGCTATGCTGACCAAGGTTCCTTCAGATTCTCCAAACTATTTTTCTATGCTTCCTCTTCTCTATTCTGAGAAGTGTTGCGTAGTCGGGGACTCGAACCAGGTGGCGTGCCAGAAGTGGAGTCAGTAAAGCCCCTTGATAAAAGCGTTTTTTACAAGTACCGCCAACCATTGTTGTGGAAGCGCGCGAGACACGTGCCATGAGCGGGTGCTCCGCCGCCATTCGCTTCCAAGGCCCACTCATTTCAGTGCTGCGCCGCCATTTGCTTCCAAGGGCCGCTCGAGACATGGGCCTCGTGCACTCGCGCATTTGACGCTACTTGCATAACAAGCGCAAACACATCGAGGGGCTTTAGGAGTCAGAGCATCTTCTGCCGCAGGTCCTTAGGTAGGTTGAATGTGTCTGTGTCTGTGCCCTTAATATTGCACGGCTCAAGGGTACGTCGTCAGCCGACCTGAATGTGACCCGCTGCTCTGGTGATCCGAAACCCAGGAGGGAGGCCGGACGTGCCCTCGCTGTGGCGACCCAGACTTCGCACACCTGCGACTCGTCTCGAGCGCGCTGTTTCTCGGAGTGCTCGCACCTGTGACGGCAATATCAGGTCGCAATCCACGAGGTTTCCGTTTGGATGATGCTAGGCGATACTTGGGGACTGCTGTCCATGCGTCGGTGGCGGAGGGTCCGCAGAAAGGACCTTCACAACAGGGATGCAACCGTATCGTTTTTTCAACCCTAACAGAAGATACCCTATGTGTTCCAGGATCCTTCAGGTGGTCCACTATTTTCGAAAATTCCAAATGGCACTGCCTGCACGATCTTCAACGAGATAACCTACAACTAAAGTATGAATTGTCCTTTCGTACAGCAGCATGGTAAAGTTTCATGTTCAAGGCCACACCTACAGATACAAGAATAGCAGTTTATTCCACCGTGACGTCATGTGATCAATGTTGACAGGGGCGTCCTTATGGAGCAGGGCCGTGGTGACGTTTTGATGGGATTTAAGACTTTTCGCATCCCTCGTCAGACAGACAGGATGTCAAGGAAGGGACCGCGGTCAGTCCTTGATGGAACGTTCTATTGAGACCATTGAAGCCTCGTCGTCGTTCCAAACATACCATCAAGGCAAAGTGCCAAGCCTTTGGGAAAGTAATTTCGGGATCAAAAACTTCCAGTTCAAACTTCAAGCTTCATCTCAGTTGCCATCTCAAACAAGTTTGAAAAATGTATTGCAGTATCGGTATTTCTGTATTTGTATTTCTGCCCTCCCTAAAATGTATTCCTGTATTTGTATTCCCAAAGACTTTTTGCGTCTATTTAAAATGTATTTCCGAGACGTATCGCGATACATTCTTACATATATATTTTAGTATCGGTATTTTAGCTACTATTTTAATGTATACCAGTATTTGTATTGTGGGATTTCCCTTGCTGCTTGCCGTCTCGGAGAATGACGCAGCACACTGGTTCAACAACACGTAAACATTTAATGACTGCTATCGCCTGCGCCGCGATCCCAACAGCGCCCGCGCATCCGCTGCGACGGCCTTTTATCAGCGGCGGAGCGCCGCTCGCGTGGCCAGTTGCCCTTGGCCCCCTCGTGGTCAAGATGACCCCTTATGATTGTCAGAGGGGCAGCCTGGGCCAACCGCTTGGAACCGCCCAGGTTACCTACAGTATTTCCAAATACATATTGGAGTATTCCTGCCCAACCCTGGGGGTTCCGTAACATGTCCTTTGATCACACCGCCTGAGACCGCGAGACTCGCATTCGACGAGTTGCGCATTTTTCCTGCGGTACTGCACTTTCGTAAAAATTTCCACGGCTTCACAAAGGCAGCTACGGTCGTCCACACAAGGTTTAAAAAAAATAGAGAACTACGACGAATGACGGCGAACGAGCAGAAAATATGTCTTTCATCAGGCAGCCACACAGACTCTGCCGCGCTTTACCCGGCTCCCTATTTGGTGACCTAAGTAACCTATTCGGAACATCCGGTGGTTGCACTCGCACTGCAGCGATTAAGCGGTGCGTGATACAGTAAATTGTCATGGAGTTTAATGATTTAACTTATGACCTGCTGTTTTATGTCACCTATAACCAGTCTTGGGTAGTAACGCGTTGCTGTAACTTCGTTACTTTTTCGGTAACTTGTAACTGTGACGAGTTACTTTGTAAGAATGTAACTTGTAACTGTAGTTATATTACTTTTTCTGAAGTAACGATGAAAGTAATGACGCTACTTTTGTCGTTACTTTTCAGTTCTTTGTGAATAATATATCATTGAACGAGTATAATCTAGCTATTTCTTGCACTTCCCAAATTGTCTGCTCCGACATTTCGAGTGTCAGCTGGCCTTGCACTAACTTGAGAATACGCTCTTTCTCGCGAGTAACTATCCGAATATAGCCACGTGTAGATTTGATGAAAAAAAAAAGAATATAGTTATCTTTACGCATATGCTTGTCCTTGTGACTGAACACTTACGTCTTAGTATATTGAAGCACTATCTCTGTTGCCGTTTTTCCTTTTTCTGCGGACGCCTTTTAGTCGGGTGAATCAACCGTGAAACAACAATACACGCGGAGAGAACTTCGTATGTTTCGTATTTTGATTTGCGCCACTATTCCGGCGTGGTTTCAACGGGGGAGGCAAAATTTACTGCTGTTTGCGCAGGGCTTGTTTCCGGTTTGCCGGGTACGAACTGAAATATATCAAAGGAGTCCATGAACCCAGCGCAACCGTCAACGAGCCAGCAATGTGCTAGTGCTACCAAGGATTGGGATGTAGATGAAAACAAAGAACTAGCGTGGCCGGCGTACAGAGAGTATTCTTCTGTGGTGAAGGTGGTTGTGAACTATTTGACCGCAGTATGCAAACTTTGCAACAAGGAGTACTCCGACAACAAGTCCTCGTGTTCAAATCTGAGAAACCATATCCAGTTGAATTTTGGACTTCGTTCTTTTCATAATATTGACTAATTTTCCAGGTGAATTATTAGGTTTGAATTTACCGCTATGGTGGAAGCCCGACTGATTCATGTCTATATTTTTTTCTTTCGAACACTAGTTTTTTTCTTAATTTTTGTGTTATAGAAGAGTAACTGAAAAGTAACGTCGTTACATTTTGAAAGTAACTGTAACCGTAACGAGTTACTCTTTTGTTGCAGTAATTGTAATGGTAACTTCGCTACTTTTTTTCTGAAAGTAACTGTACCTGTAACGAATTACTTTTTAGAAATAACTTACCCATGACTGCCTATAACTTTATGTTATATCATAACTTATTACCTGTTATGTTTCAAAGTATGTGCTAGCGGAGGGTTACAAATTATTTTCAACACTAAAATTAGAAAGTTTGTTTGCGATTGGCGGCTTCATCAGAGACCCTGCCAATGACAAGCTTTCGAGCGACTGCAATACTCAACAGATGATTGCAAAGAACTTCACCTATCCACTTTTTTTCACAAGTTTCGCAATGTTCTTTAGATATTTCCTTATAATTTATTAATCACATAAATTATTATAATGATCGCATATTCCACTAAAGCCACATACAGATCGTTTTTACTTTGTTTTTCTTAAATGCTAACGTAACAGCGAGCCTTTTTTCGTGTGTGACTAGAAATTTACGTTAAGAAACATATTGTTCACTCACCAATTTCCGAGATTAGAACGACGAGTATAACTTTTAGCAACACCATTTTAGTAGATGCGGGAGATTTTCCGTATAAAGTGAGGTTGAGTGATAGTATGCGGAACCGTTGAAGTTCGCCTGTACAGTTCTGAAACTCTCGCTGGGCGACGTCAGCTTTAGTACCTCCAGAGGCGCTGTAGAGGCAATAACAACCCAAGGCGTGTTCTTTTCTAATTTTTTTCCCTATACAATGCAAGTTATAGCCATCGACACGCAAAATAATTAAACAATGCGAAAAAAATTCACCCCCGCGCCCGCGCGCTTGTTTATCGTGGGCGTTTTTCCCTCCTGCTCACCTCCTCTCTCTTACACGATATATATGTAATATTTAACAACGGAATTTGTAAAACGTGTTTTTTAACGCAATCTCAAAAATCGAAGCCCGCAAGCTATGTTGCCTCCGGGATATTTTTTTTTTTTTTTTTTTTTTTTGTAAGCATGGCGGCGTTCGGCACCGGTAGTACTAATAATGATCGGGGAGTCGAGGAATCGGACGAAGTTCTCTTTTCGGTGCCCGACGACCGCTCAGACTTCAAAAATGAAATCGTCAAACGGTCAAGACAAATGGGTTATGTGCGTTTGCACCATCATAGTTTTGGTTATGATGCCTCTGGGGCAGCCCTTCACGCTGCACCGGCGCAACAGGGCCCCTCCCGTCGCTGACAAAGTGTGCTGTGCGTCCTTTTCGACTTCACTCTGTTCAAAACAATCTTAGGTCGCTGAAAGGGCTACTGCATTGAGGAAGGAGTATCTAACTCTTCTTTTCGGGAGGCAGTGGCTTGATTCGCTCGAACACGCAATCGCGTGTTTTCCTACCCACAAAGTTCGAACCAGTGTCTGCGTAGAGCTGCGCGTGTGCAGACGATATTTTTCAAAATCGTAAATATCTCCTCGATAAAACGAAATGAAACACCAAAAAACAAAGAACGGCTTCCAATCGTAATTAGCAACGTCGCACCCCCCCCCCCCCCCCCTCTCTTTCTCTTGCCCTTAAAATAAAGAAAAGAAACTGGAAGGGGTACATGTGAAGGAATACCGGTGTAGGAATTAAAACTTTGGTTGGGGCTATATATATAGTTGGTTCATATCGATTAAAAGGTTAAAAGGCGCGAACAAAACAGGCCGAAAAAAGACACACGTACGACACGGACACGCGCCAACTTCCAGCTGATTTAATGAAACACGAATCATCGTCAAACTGTCGATCCCAATCGCCTAAGCAGATGCAACTGATAAAGGTTCCTATCACTCATTACACACAGCCCTCAAGAAACACATATTTTTTTATTTAGTAGACAAAAAAATGGCAAGCTTACGCATCTCTCAGCCGCTTTGTGTATAAAGAATTCTTCTTTTAATTCTCTTTACATCTTCTCATTACCTTTCTTAAAGGGCAGCTCCTGTCCATACTTTCGATTTTTGAATTAGGACTGTTTTTAGTGCAGTCAGCGTCCCTGCATTGCAAGGTGTAATTTTTTTCTCGTTACTGTGCGTAGTTTTAAAGATATCGACGCCTCAAAGTTTTGTTTTAGGCGCGGCCAACAAAACCGAAACAATAGCCGCTCGAGGCCCTGGCAGCATTAGAAATCAGCCGCTATATATGTGAACGTGACATCAGGATCGTTCTTGTTCAACGAGTACGCAGGCCGAGCGGCACCTACCTCTGTTGCGCTAGCCGTCTAAAAATAGGAGATAAGCTGATTTTGTTTTAATTCTGTATACGAGGTATAGTTATCCCGCATACGTAGCAAGAGTTAGTGCATATACCCAAACGCCAGCGGCTGGAAAAGCCGTGAACTCGTACGGTGCCGTACTCGGAGGCCGCCACCGTGGGTGCGCTGCGCCGTACTCGTCGCTTGTATACGAGAAAGATAACGACTGGAAAACGAGGAACTCGTTCGGTAGCGTACTCGGCGGCTGTCGCCGTGTGTGGGGTCTTCCGTACTCGTCGATAGGCCTAAATTGTCATCGGGGCTCCGTGGACGGAGCGGCGTTGCTCTACGCCGCGCTGCCAGTGACGTACAGCACTGGGGGCCCTCTCGTCTTCGCGCTGAGGGTCAGTCCCAGACACGATGCTTTGAGGCTCTCCGGCGCGGGCTGCGGCGCCCGAACACACGTGTGCTGGGCTATACACATCTGTTTTTTTCGTTCTTTTTTCCTCGGGTGCGTAAAAGCCGAAGTCCAAAGTCCACTCGTCGAACAGCGTTCACCCACACCTTTTCCAATTTTCGGTCCGTTGGAAACTTGTGAAAAAGAACATCCGTATTGCGCAGCGGGTTGTTTGAGCAGCCCACAGCGCTACAAGTTGCACTCGGCATCTTTCGAGGAACAGCTGGGAGGTCATGGGCGCACCAAGTTGCTCGCTAACATGGGTCTTCGACATGGGCGTACCAACCGGGGGGGGCAAGGGGGGTGCTCGTTCCCTCAGTTCTCAAAGTGGGGGGGGGGGGGGGGGGGGGGCAAGGCATGTGTTTTGCCCCCCTCTGAAACAGCCGCCACTGGGCAGGGAAAACACTGTCCGTTTGCGCCCAAGGAGCACCAAGGGCACCGCCCCCCCCGCCCTTGGGGCGGAGGAAGGGGGGGGGGGGGGGGGGGAGCTGGTTTGCCCCTAACTCAAAAACCAGTTGGTATGCCACTGATCTTGGAGTCCTCACAAGCGAATAAACCAAAGGTTATACCTAAACTACAGGCGCTACAGATAAAAGCAACGGCTAAACACGCCAATCACAAGCCGAAGTAGCGGTGGTGGCAGCTCAAAGAAGCGCACTCCGCGCAACGAACGAACCGGAGGAAAAAAAGAGAATGATACTGACGTCACGGCCCAATGTCGCTTTAGCGATCGGCAACCCGCTGGCCGCCCGTTAAGGTGTATCCACACAACAGACCAAATTGCTCTTTTGGTCCGCGGGCCGCGCATCATGTGATCTTACGTCACCGGTTTTCGAGGTCCGCCGGCGGTCCGCGGCCCGCGCTTGTGAGAAATGCCAAGCGACTTTTCTCGCCCGGACCTTGGCGGCGGACCGCGGCGTTTTTAGTATAATTGAAGAGCTAAGTCTGGCAACAAGCTGAATTTTGTTGTTTGGATTGGAATCCAAATCCAAAGTCGTTTTCTTTTGGCGCCAACTGTGGATGACGAAGAAGACGAACCTTTTGTTGTGCGACGATTAAACTTTTTACTTCATCGCGCTCATGGAGCGATTCCCCGCTCCGTGGGACAATAGTCACGAAGACTACCCGAATAATCGTCTAAAGATATCCCCATGCCTTTTTCGGTTCACTTAAGTCCTCCTCGCCCTCAATATTCAACGCCAGGACCACCGCGGCCAAACGTCTCTTTCGTTCAACCTCCATCTTGGCTCCTTACAAATAGCCTCAAAGCAGCTCGCTGCATGCGTTTGGCGGAACTGTCAGGTAGAGGGTTAGACCGGCCCGTTCGCTCTGTCGTCTGCTCTTTTGGTCCGCCGTGGGGATGCTCATTGCAGCCGGGCGGCCCGCGGGCCGTGCGTCACGTGATCAATCGGTCCGCGGCCCGGTCCGTCGTGTGAATACGCCTTTAAAGGGGTACTCCACTGATATTTTGAGCTACCTCAACTAACTATATTTTCTGACTCCATGGCCTTTAGCCTTTCCGGTATGCTATTCAGCATCGCGAAATTCTTAATAAGTATTGTGAAATCGGCAAATGAAAATGGTGCAAAAACCAATATTCAAATATTCGCGCACTTTTCAGTGCCGTGACGTCAGTGGCAGGCAGGCTTGCCAGTCGAGCAAGTAGTCTAAAAATAGAATATGCCAATCATTTGTTCCGTGCTGGAGCGCGGATACGGGAGCGAGCTTCCAAAGCACTCATTTGACACCAAGAAACTGCTTCAAATCCGTTGGGAACAACTTCTGTAGTCCAAAAAGTTAACCCCTGCCTTCCACTGACGTCACTTTGTTGTTGTTGCCAGTAGAGACTTTCAGTTTGAAAAACACGGTGAAGACCAAAACTGTAAAATCAATAACTTCGCGAAAAAACAATATTTTGACCTAATATTTGGGATACTATTTTATCAATGTTTGTTGGTTAGTTTAGCAAAATTTCAAGCAAATCGGAGTCAATGAAAAAACCGGTGGAGTACTTAAGGAGCAGCGGCTCGCGGCGGGTCGCATTTTAAAGCGCAGCTAGGCGCCCGTTTCCGGCTTGAGCGGCGTCGCCATCGGCATCTCTGGCGCCGTTGCCGTCGGGGTAATCGCGCGGCGCATTATGAGTAAATTTCCCCGCTAAATCTAGCGAAAAATTTTCCTACTAAATCTAGCGAAAACATTTCCCCGCTAAATCCAGCGGAAAAAAATTCCCCGCTAAATCTAGCCGCAAAAGTTCCCCGCTAAATCTAGCCGAAAATTTCCCCGCAAAATCTAGCGGAAAAATTTCCCCGCTAAATGTAGCGAAAAAATTTCCCCGCTAAATCTAGCGGAAAATTTCCTCGTTAGATTTAGCGGAAAAATTTCCCCGCTAAATCTAGCGGAAAAATTTCTCTGGGGGTTCACGTGACCTGGGGGGTCACATGACCCCCGAGATCACGTGACACCCCCAGGTCCCGTGACCCCCCTTAGGTCACGTGACCACCACGTGATTTTGGGGATGAGGTCACGTGACTTTTGTGGCCTTGGCTCCTCCTCCTCAAGAGCTGCGCTCTAATTCGGCGTTACAGGGGGTTGTAAACGGCTTTCTTTTTTTATTATCGGCATTAGTTGAGAATGCGGCATCCCACGGACGTAATATTTTGGCTGGGGTCGTATTTTTTGTCACTACAGCGATACCAGTAATTTATTTCATTTTGAGTTTTGGCCGGATTTGCCCTTTAAGTGCTCTAACAAACGTTCGCACCCACGTCGTTTGCCGTGCTCCGCAAGATGCTCTCCCGCATTATTGCGTACGGAAAGCTTGTGTTCCCTCGCTTTAACGTAAAGTATTTTCTCGCATGCTGGTTATTGCGGTACGCTTTCATGGGCTTCGGCTGTTGC